TGCCCGCTGCGGGTATATAGATAAGGTTTTTTTGTTTTGGGGGGGGGGTCGTTTTCACTTCGGATATCGAACGCACGTGTATCACTGGTACAGGCGCGTCACACATAGATTTCATGCTTGCTTCTAAGTCAGCCGCACCGTATATCTTAGACATGCAGCCGGTCATCGACGTGCCGTGGGGCACGCGCTGTGGACATCAAGTGCGCTTTAGGAGCGAGGGCCTTCAGCCCATCACTCGGTCTCTCGTCCTGGCCAGGAAGTTGCCGCAGGTGCAGCGGCCTGGACAGGCAGCACAGGCTGGTAGTAAGTCTCAGGCCAATAAGCGTAAGAAGCATGCGCGTCGCACAGCATTTCAACAGAAGTTTAGCGAAGCCTGTAATCAGTTTTTTTGGGGTTTGTTTCAGGGCAGCCAGGCCCCCCAGGCCGACGCCCAACGGGGAGACACTGATGAGCCCGAGGATCCTTTCAAGTTTCAGTCCGCAGGAGGTTGGGACGAAGAAATCGACCCCTGGTCTCAGGATTTTAGCTTAGGTTCAGGATCTCAGCAGCCCCAACGTAGCGAGCAGCAAAATAACGTGCGCCCCCACCCCGACCCCTGCAATTTAAACGAGGCTGGTCAAACCCCATTTAGGGCCGAGGTTTCACCCGAGGGGGCAGCAGAGGCAGTAGGACCAGCGTTCTACATCCCTGCCGACACCTGGGGCATCAACAGGGCCAACGTGGGCTTCACCACCCAGTCAATCGAGCAGGTCTGGCCAGTCGTATCCAATTCAGGAGCGTTCATGGTTGGGGGCAAACACGCGTTGCAAGTCAGCGGTATGTATGATTCTTGGATTCGCACAGTTGAGCACAGCATTCTCCAGCACCACGGGGAAGAAGTCGCTGGTAAGTCTCGAGCTGATGCGCCTCAGTTGGTCATACACACTGTACACAAAGCGGAACACATCAGGGACACACCTCTCAGCGATCAGGTTGCTACATGGTGGTCTAGGCTACACGCCGTATTAGGGAGATGTCATCGACATAAAGTTCGTGCGAATGGCGTGCAGCAAGTAGAGCAGTTAGCGGAAGTTGCGCGCAGATTGTCACGCGTCTTCCCCGAGGGTGCGCAGGCGGTCATCATTCCTGGCAATCAAAACTTCTCTCGGGAGCACTGGGTCCACGTTCTTGGGGATATCTCCAGGCACAGTGTCGATTTGTTAGAAAAAATGCACATCCAGGCTGGGAAGGTGGCACAGCGCAGTAGGAGACGTGCTGTTCAGGCATCTCTGAGAGCTTTTCAGGATTGGATCGTTCAGGAGACATCGGTTGGAGCTGTTCACCGATGCCTGCGAGCAGTGCCACTAGCAGCTGATGAATATTGTGATCAAGGCAAGCGCTTGTTTCACCCCAGGGACATTGTTGACGCGAAGGTCAAGCCGTTCCAGTCTCTCTGGGCCACGCCAGCTTTTGATCGAGATTCGATGTGCGAAGTTTTCAGTATCGTTCGTGAAGCTGCCAAAGTAGAGCAACTCGTGCCTCTAGAGCCTCAACAAATTAGACGAGCAGCTAGCCGTATGAAAGCTAAAGCGGGTATGGGCATCGACCAGATTAGCCCGATCGGCGTCGAGCGATTACCCGAAGGAGCCCTTCGGGAGCTTGCTAATATCTACGAGGCGATAGAGGTAACGCTCACCTGGCCACGGCAGATGATGGCTTGTATAGGACGGTTGTTGCCGAAGAAGAGTTCAGGAGACAGAGTCATAGGACTCTTACCGATTTTTAGCAGGATTTGGAGTTTGGCTAGAGATGACATCAGCAAACAGTGGTCTCGGGATACTAACCCTTCTTGGGATGCGGCTATCGAGGGTAACTCTCCCCTTCTCGAGGCTTTTCAGAGGATTTTGGATGCTGAGGTCGCTCAAAAACTCCAGGTTACCTATGAGCAAGCCGTCTTGGATATTAAAAGCTTTTACGGCAATATTCAGTTCAAGAAGCTCGTGCTCGCCGCCCTGCGGTTGGGGTTTCCGCCTGTGCCGCTCTTTTTAGAACTGCAGTTGTGTGTTGCAGCGCGCATGCTGTCACAAGTAGGAGCTTATCCCGAAGGATTTCAACCAACACAAAGTATCAAGCAGGGCCTCAGGTGCGGGACGAGGTTTGCCAGGTGTTTAACGTTGTTCATTTTGGACAAGATGAGGGTGGCGAATCCAGGTATGGGGGAGAGGATTTGGATCGATGATCTTTATCTCGGAGTCATGGGCTCTCAGCGGCGAGTGGAGCACGCGCTGGTGAAGAGCATAGGTGACCTCACGGGCCTTTTTAGCCAGGAGTCTTTGACGCTTGCCAGCAAGAGCGTCGTTCTTTGCTCAGTACATCGTGTCGCCAAGCAGGTTGCTCAGACTTTGAAAGCCAAGGGGATCGTTGTAGAGCCAGTTCTTCAAGCTTCTTATCTCGGAGTTGATGCAGGAGCAGGAGAACGACTCTCACGTGCGGTTCGGAGGCAGAGGGTTGTGAAAGCAAAAAAGCAAAGCCACAAACTGAGAAGATATGCGACGGCGTCAAAGAAATACCTCATCATCAAAAACATAGGGCAAGCAGGGCCACAAGCGGGAGCCTCCTATGGGTCTCAAGTTTACGGCGTCTTCGGGGAGCATTTGTTGGGAATGCGTCGCAGATTAGCAGCAGCCTCAGGCAGTAACAAAAGAGGGAGGTGCATCACGACCATCCTCGACCTCAGGACACCTGGTTTGGATCCTGGAGTTAGGCTTCCAGTTCTTTGTCTTATGCAGTGGCTACATGTGTGGAAACACAATGTTGCAGCTAGGTCTAGCATCGCACGTGCCTGGCCTATCGTCCTGGAGCAGATGAGGAGTCTGGAACCCAACAGGCGTACTCGGCATATACGGGGACCTCTTGGGGCACTTATTCATCAGATGCTTCTCTCGGGATGGGGCCCTGAGGCTCCAGATATCTGGCGCGGACCTGACTTCACCTGGAAGTTTGATGCTAACCAGTTGCACTCGCTCGACCAGGCCAGGGGGCTCTTGGATGACTACACCTCCAGCCTACAGGCTCTGCAGTGGAAAGCGGCTTCGGCCCATTTCTGCGGAGCTGGGCTAGAAGGAGGAGTGGACAACCAGAGCCTCCGTTTTTTGCTCACTCAGTTGCAAGATGTGCCTCATGGGAGGCAACTCGCTGAGCTTCTTTTGTGCTTTGCTGCAGGTGGTGCGTGGTTGGAGACCCGCAAATGCGACGCAGGTCTCAAGCAGGAGGATTTGTGCCCGCGCTGCCGAGAAGAGCCAGAGACACCGCTCCATCGACATTGGCGTTGCAAGAGGAACGCAGGGCATAAGATCTACGAAGATTCAGATGAGCTCGTCTTGGAAGCCATGCAGCACAGCGAGATTGAAGCATGTTCTTGGCATCGTGGATTGATTCCAAGGTGCAAGACGGCGGTGGAACCGCCAGTGGAGGAAGAGGAGTGGATTGCCACAGGTTTCAACGGAGACTGGTGCCCAGGGTGTCTTGGGCACGGCACGCGCACCGAGCCAGTGGTCATATGTGGAGATGCGTCAGGCGGCAAGGACTCCAGAGATGTTCGTCGTAGACGTGTGGGGCTCTCCATTGTTGTCATCGGCCAGTTTGAACCAGTTTCTATATCTTGTACTGTTTCGGGGCCTCTTATTGGGACACCTCAAACGGTACCTCGTGGGGAATTGAGCGCTCTTGAGTTAGGTATCCGCTTGGCCACTGGCCACTTGACCTTCGTTTCAGACAACGATGAGGTTGTGAGGGGTTGGTGGGAAGGCAGATGGAAGGAACCCAGAGGTGAGCTCGCCCCGATTTGGAGGACCATCGGGCAGCTGCTTGAAAATCGATCGCCTCAGTTCATTAATGTTTTTTTGGGTGCCGTCGCATGTGTCTCCCGAGCAAATGGTGTCGCGTCGTCTTCGTCCTTGGATGGTTTCAGGGAATATTTGTGCTGATACCATGTCGGGAGCTATTGCAGATAAGTGCCGTGTTTCAGCCGATACTCGTTTCAGGATAGCGACCTGGGAGAGGAAAGCAGCATTGGTCAGGAAGCGTTTAATGAGGTCGACTCTGGAATCCGCCATTGCCGACAGGGAGATGAGGCAGGCCGAAAAACGCAGGTCTGAAGCCGATGATGCTGCCGCCGCTCCCATTGTTCCTCCTCCTCCTTCCTTTCCTGTCCCCCCTCTTCCCATCCCATCCGCCGCCGCCGTCGCCCTGTTCGAGTCCGCCCACACCGTGTCCGAGGATGGGCTCAGCTGTGTGGTGTGCAGGAGTTCCTGCATCAAGGCGCGGCGGCTCCCTTGGCTGAGTTCAGAATGTAGGACGCTCGCACACATCTATGGGGATTTGTACCAGCCTCAGGCAGGGGTCCACATAGCGGGTGGGTGGGTGCATCATTCGCACAGTATGATTTATCATGATAAATCACATGTTTGGATTTGCAGGGCTTGTGGCTTCTTCGGGTCCGAACAGATTCGGAACCTAGCCAGCCCATGCAAGCCCCACCTCATCACCAAGAAGAGGAGGGAGTATCTCTCGAGATTCGAGCGAGGGCTCCATCCGAAGTAGTGTTCTGTTCTGTGATTTTGGGCCCGTGCTACGCAAAAGCGTTTTCTGGCGGGTCAGCACACACACCCAATCCTCCTCATTCTCATCTTCCTTCCTTCCTCCCTCCTCCTCTCCTCGTTCTCCTCCTCCTCCTCCTCCTCTCCTCCTTCCCTCCTCCCCCTCCTCCCTCCTCCTCCTCCTCCTCCTCCTCCTCCTCCTCATCCTCCTCCTCCTCCTCCTCCTCCTCCTCCTCCTCCTCCTCCTCGCCTCGCCGCTCCGCCGCTAGTCGCTCCTCCTCCCCCTTCTCCACAGCATCAGGGGTCCAGAAGCATCCAGAGACCCCTGGAGACGTCCAGACACCTGCGAGAGAAGGTCTCCTACGCCGACGCCGTGCAGAGCGTGCTGGACAGCGCGGAGGTCCGGGTGCATAGATCCGCTTCGATGCCGACTCTGGCCGGCCCACTCCGACCCGATTCCGATGATCCGTGGCCCCCTTTGTGTGGCCCGCCGCCTGCAGGCGGCGCCGCTCTGCATCCTGGCGCGGCCGATCCGGTTCGATCCTGGCCATGTGCCGATGCAGCCTGCGATCCGACGCACCGCCCGTTTCGGCCCGATTCCCCAGCTCGCGCGGGGCCAGGGCGAGGGCAGGTGTCCGTTCCAGAGCGCTCCGCAGCGCTCTGGGAGCGTTCTCCGGGGCGCTCCGAGAGGGCCGCGGCGCCCGAGACGTCCTTCAGCGCAGGTCGGATCTCAGAGGTTCTCGATTTACCCTCACCCGAATCCGTCCTCGTCCTGGCTCTCTGAGGCCCTCTTGGAGCCATCTTGGGCCAGCTTGTACGCTCCCCTCTCGCGAACCCCCCCGTCCAGGTCCAGGGGAGGGGGCAGGGGGAGGGGCAAATCTTTCCCCGAAGGGGAAGAAGGGTCTGTGGAAGAGGAAAGAAAGACATCGTTAGACCACCTGTCGCCCAGCTTCGTCCCGGCTTCGTCAAAGGCCGCGGCGCCCGAGACATCCTGCAGAGCCGTCGGATCTCAGAGGTTCTCGATTTACACTCACCCGAATCGGCGACTTGGATCCCTCACGTGATGCGAATCGGAGGAGGAGTACGAGGATGAGGATATACAGGGGAGGCAGAGGAGGGGGATTCGGTGGGGAGGGGGGATTTTCGCATCACGTGGCGAAATCCCTCTGCCTGCCGAATTTGTCCCCGTCCTGGCTTCGTCTTGCAAGCCGGTGCCGACCACGCCACCGCTCCTGCCCACAGGTGGTCTGCGCCACCCTGGTGGGCTGCGGCGCGAGAGACTTCGAGGGGCGGTCCTTCGACCTCATCCTGCTGGACGAGGCGTCGCAGTCCACGGAGCCGCGGTCGCTGATCCCCATCAGCAGGCTCCTTGGGTTAAATCGGGCCTGTCCCTCTACAGGGGACGACTTTTATCATTTTCGAGTTTTTGTTGAATATTTTAGCTGGTATTTTTGCTTGTCGTCCAAAATCCGCCTGTAGAGGGACACGCTCGACCCAATCCTATGGTCTCCCAGATGGGGCCCGAGTATCGAAGGAGAAACAACGCCATGAACATAAACTTTTTGGCGCTCCGCGCGGGTTTCTTGGATCTGCTCTGGGCCCCCCTGGCGGTGCCCCTGGCGCCGCCCCTGGCGCGCTCCGGGGCCCAGCGCAGACCCAAGAACTCCGCGCGGAGCGCCAAGCAGTTTATGCTCATGGCGTCCTTTCTGCTTCTAGGGCAGACGGGGTCGGAGGATCGCGCCACGTCGCCGATGCACCGGCGATGCGGCTCGATGCGGAGCCCGATCTGCCTCGCGTCGACGGCGCCGAGGCATCGCCCACGGCGGGGATGCATCGGCGACGCGGCGCGATCCCCCGACCCCACTGCTCTGCAGGCTCAGCCCGTCCGGGCGCCTCGCGCTGGTGGGCGACCACCAGCAGCTGCCGCCGGTGTGCGTGTCGCGGGAGGCCCCCGCGGAGCCTCTTGGGGCGTGGCCGGCCGCGAGAGCGCAGCGGCCGTCTTCCGACGTCCATTCGGGTGGGGCCATCGGCATGCAGCGGGGAGGTCGGCTGCCTCGGTGCGCCCGTTTCTCAGCGTGTGGGCCCACGTGTTGGCGAACGTGTCGCGTCAGGCCTGCGTTTTCAGTCCACGCGCTGAGCTCCGTGTCGATTCGCCGCGTGTTGCAGGTTGCGTATCGGGGCAGTTGAGATCGGGAGGAAGGGACACAGTCGATACGGATTAGTAGGTCGACCCTGTCAAATAGAGGGTACCCCTGTGTCCTGAGCTTCGCGACCCTTCGCGACCCATGCCTTCTTACATTCCTACAGCAATGTGGCCCTCGGAAAGGTCTTGTGTCCTCTCGCGTGTCCTTTCTAATCAACCTCGATTCGATTGTAAACAGTATCCGTGACACGCGCGTCGTCGTTCAGACTGTGCGTGCCACTCGCTCGATGCTTCGTGAGAAGGCCCGGCACTTTGGCAGCATGAGGACACGCTGATGGAATCGTCTGGCCGGCGTGGCAGACTGTTTTTCTTTCTGGATTCTCGTTTAAAGTTCAAAAAAGAAATATATTCTCCCACCCTCCCCCCCGCGGGCTGAAAGACCCCCCCGGAACAGATGCAAAACACATTGGATTCTGACCCAATGTCCATCCTACCTGCGCATTCATTCTATCCCAGCCCAAGAGGTATCGGCCCCTCCCGCCATCCTCTGCAAAAAATATGCGCGCACACTCGTTTGTCAAAAATCCTAAGTTTTCAAGCAGCCGTTTGACAAAAACAGACGAACTGCGCACGCGCGCGTCGTCGCGCGCGCATGCCGAAATCCTTCAAAAACCTTTGGTTTCGGAAGAATTTCAAAATCGAGATGTCAAAACACATGCAAAAACCCTCGGTTTCGCAACGCTGATATTCCTAAAATGCTTACACGCGCGCTCTTGCGAAATCTTAAGAGGACCATAGGTTTTCCAAGATATTCCAGAAATTCTACTAAACGGGCTTCGCGCGCGCATGTCGAAATCGTTCGAACGCCCTTGCGCGCGTGGCGTCGCGAGAATCCTCGGAAAAAATTGAACGAAGTGCACGCGCGCGTCGTCGCGCGAGCATGCCGAACTCCTGCAAGAACCTCTTGGTTTCGGAAGGATTTCAAAATCGAGTTTCCAAAATACATACCAAAACACATGGTTTCGCAACACTGTTTTCCTAAAATGCTTACACGCGCGCCCTTGCGAAATCTTAAGAAAACTAAGAATGTTTCAATATATTCCTGAGATGCTACCAAACGGGCTTCGCGCGCGCGCATGTCGAAATCGTTCGAACGCCCTTGCGCGCGTGCCTTCGCGAGAATCCTCTGCAAAAAAACGGAACGAAGTGCAGGCGCGCGCGTCGTCGCGCGCGCATGCCGAAATCCTTCAAGAACCTTTTGTTTCGGAATGGTTTTGAAATCGAGCGTCCAAAAGACATACCAAAACACAGGGTTTCGCAACACGGATTTTCAACAAAAGCGTGCGCGCGCGCTCTTGCGTCGTCGTCGTCGTCGTCGCCGTCCTCCCTCCTCCCTCGTCGTCGTCGTCGTCGTCGGCGTCGTCCTCTGTCTTTCTTCGTCGTCGTCGTCGTCCTCTTTGGCGTCGTCGTCGTTTCCGTCGTCGTTGTCGCCGTGGTCGTCCTTCCTCCTCCCTCGTCGTCGTCGTCGTCGTCCGTCGTCGGCGTCGTCGTCGTCCCTCCTACTTCGTCGCCATCGTCGTCGTCGTCGTCAATGTCGTCGTCGGCGTCGCTGTCCTCCCTCCTTCTTCGTCGTTCGCGTCGTCGCCGTCCTCCCTCCTTCCTCGTCGTTGTCGTCGTTGTCGCTGTCGTCGTCCTCCCTCCTCCCTCGTCGTCGTCGTCTTCGTTGGGGACGTCGTCGTCGTCGTCTCCGTCGTCGTCGTCGTCGTCGTCGTCGTCGTCGTCGTCGTCCTCGTCGGTGTCGTCGTCGCCGTCGTCAGCGTCGGCCTCGTCGTCGTCGTCGGATTCGGCATCGGCGTCGTCGTCATCGTCGTCATCGTCGTCGTCGTCGAAGTCGTCGGAGACGTCGTCGGTGTCGTCGCAGTTGTCGTCGGCGTCGTCGTCGTCGTCGTTGTCGCTGTCGTCGTCGGCGTCGCTGTCGTTGCCAAGTGCCATTTGGTACCCACCGCCACGGCCTTCAGAAGTCTTGCGACCAAGTTGCGGGTGGGATGGCGGGATGTTTGCACGAGCAGTGGAGAGGACAGCTTCAAGACAGTCAAAGTGAATACAACTATAGATCCGCCCCTCCCCCGCTCGTTTTTGGACGCTCTGTTTTTTGACGTGTTCCGCGTCTGCAGGCTATTTCGTGGCCGGGGGAACCGTCACAAAACGATTCGGGGTGCAAAGACGGCGCCGAGGAGGGGATCGAGATCCCCAGGGGCCGACGTCACGACCAGACGAGCTGCGTTGGAGGGGAGGGACGGTGGCCTCCCTCCTGCGTATTCCTACTCAGTCTCCTTCTCTCGTTTCGTGGATACTCGTGCTTTCATCTGTACTCCCTATTGCCATTCACTTCGACTCTCCACGCTGTCGGTCTTCCACCAGGCTCCACACAGGTGGTGCCACTCTACCCGTCAACAGGACACAAGAACAATGCAGAGTCCACGTTTGCCTTCTCAACGCTGCTATTATGTTGTCGACGTTGCGGAAAGCTTGGCAGGAAGGTGACGCGGAGCACATCGCGACCGAGCGGCTGACCTGTCGTTCTGACCCTCGCCCCGCGCAGAGGATTCTAGAATGTATATCTGTAATCCTGCATGAGCGCGCCACGGGCGCGGCAAGTGTATATATGTAATCCTGTCTCGCTGGGTCGCCGAGAACGGGGCCGCGTGCGACAGAGCGCAATGTCGCTCCGGCTCCAGCCCGCGCAGATTTCGTCTGAACGTTGCACTCCCGCTCGAGCACGGCGCATGTTTTGTCATCGCCGGCCCGATGGGACACGGGGCCCAAGAGTGGGCACCACCACCACCTCTCTCGCCCCCTCCCTCCCCCAGGAAAGAGGAGGGGAAGGGGAGGGCAGAGGAGGGAGGGGGCGCATACTCTTGGGGCCCCCTTGGGCAGTGTGGCCGCGCGCGCGGCGCTGTCGCAGGCGCGCCGAGGGCCGGCGTCTTTTCAGAGCTCTCCCGCTCCCGCAGGGGCGCAGGCCGCTCTCTTGCCCGGGGCCAGCAGAAGCAGAGCCACGCGCGAGCAGTGGCGAAGCGTCCCGGCTCGCCTACAGCCCCACCAAACAATGTTCTAATGTTATATGAACATTTTGTGGATCCCACGAAAGATGCTCTTAGAACATTTCTGGCTGGGACCGTCTTGTTTCAACAAGTCGGGCTTATGTCCTAAGAGCATTGCTCTTGTTTTTAGAACATTTTCGGGTTCTAAGAACATTTCGTGGTATGACCATAGGAATGCCGGGACGGTCGGTCCCTGCTCAAGCCACGCGCGAGCGAGTGTCCTCCGGGCAGACGATCGGGAGGGAGAACGAGTAGCAAGGATACGCTGCCGCTGGTAGCCCTCGAGGAAGAACAGACGCCACAAGCATGAACTCTTGGCGCCTTCCCGGGGATTTCTCGGGGCTCCGCGCTGGGCGCAGCAAGAGAAGCACGGCCGCCGCCGTCGGGGAGCCTGGTAGCGCCCTCTCGAGGGCATCTTAGCCGCACCGCCCCTGTTTCTTCGCATCGGCGCGGTTGTGCTGAGGATCGCCGTGGCTGCCGCCCAGTCCTCCCGAGGGGGGCCCACTGCCAGTCGCCGCGGTCTTGGGCTGCACGATCCCGTCGGTTGCTTCGGCGTGGCGGGGCCGAGGATCGCCGCGGCTGCCGTCAAGCCGCGGCGAGGAGGGCCCGTCTGCCTGTCGCAGTCGTCCTGGACTATGCCACCCCGCCGTGCTTCCTGGTCAGCCCCTGGAGCTCGTTTTTTTCAGTCTGGGCGATAACGCCCGTGATCGCCCCCGCCCCTCCCCCCCCCGATCACGTCACCCTGTTTTCCCCACATGTCTCAAGGAATCTCCCAGGGCTTCCAGAGAATCTCAAGGGTTCCCGAGGAATTCGCCGTCGTCGCTGTTGTCCGCGACCGGGAGGTGGTGAAGAAGGAGGAGGAGGAAACCAGATGGTTCGAGGGCCCGTTGAGGACAACGCTAATAGCTTTGTCATCCCCCTGACCTTGATCTGGATTCGCGAGCTGCCTTCCCTGGGGCCTGTAGGGGCGCCATGTTTCCCAGCACAGGCGTTTGCCAATTCCTGTCGCAGTTTATTCGCATGTTCCTCTTCCTCCTCCTCCTCCTCCTCGTCCTCATTCCCCCGTTCCGTCTTGGGCTCCTGGTCCGCTCACCGCTGTCCAGGTGCTGATGCTCCCGCCGATCGCCGGCGCGCATTGCACTGCCCAGCCACTCTTAGCTTCGGAGGCGCGCGCCCTGCTCTATGCCATTTTGGCCAGGCGTGTCGTCGGTGGTGCTTCGGGTCCGTGCAGTGCGGCCTTGCCCTCGGGGCAGCGCGGGAGCCAGCGTTTCAGAGGAGGCTCGCGAAGCATTGGGAGAGGCGGGGATCAGAGATAAAGCGGTTTGAAGACAAGCCGCCCCCCATCCGTGAGGCTCCTGCATACCTTGAAGACGAATGTTCGCGTTCTTTTGGGGGGGAGAGCCACATTTCGAAAACCACCCGCCCTTCATCCGCGAAGCTGCTCCAAAATTTGAGGACGAATGCGCGCGCCGCCATGGCGAGAGCCACCTTTCGAAAACAGCCCGCCCTCCATCCGCGAAGCACATCTCAAGCTTCAGGAACACACGCGGTGAAGAAGTCTCAGCGGACGCGCCCAGCCCGCCCTACCGACACGCTTCGGGGTGCGACCGGGGGGAGTCTTTTATAAAGAAAGGGATTCGGTGACCCCGTCCTCTTCAGAGACTGCTACACGCCACTCCCGCTGTGCAAGAGAGAGAGAGCAACAAAACAAAAACACAAAGACATAATTAGCTGGCAAAGGACCCATTCATATGCAGTTGTGAGTATCGTCGTTGTATGCACCGCATTCGGAGGAGTTCGCTATACGGCCACGAAACTTGTGAGGGGTGTGCCAAAGTTTGTCCGGTGGGCGCATGCAAAAGCAGCCAGTGGGGCCGTCGGTGGAATTCCCTATGGGGCCACGAAACGCGTGAGAGGTGTGCCGAAATAGGTGCGGTGGGCGCATGCGAACGCAGCCACTGGGGCCGTCGATGGAGCTTCCTGTGTGGCCGCGAAACGTGTGAGAGGTGTGCCGAAATTGGTGCGGTGGGCGCATGCGAACGCAGCCACTGGCGCCTTCGGTGGAGCTCCCTATGGGGTCACGAAGCGCGGGAGAGGTATGCTGGAATGGGCGTGGGGACGCATGCGGGCGGTGGCACAAGGGCCGTCGTTGGAGCTCCCTATGGAGCCACGAAGCGTGTGAGGCGTGTGACGACATGGGTGTGGGTGACGGACGCATGCGGGCGGTGGCACTGGCGCCTTCTGTGGAGCTCCCTGCGCGTGAGGGGTGTGCCACGTTGGGATTTGGGGGCGCATGCGGGCTGTTTCACTGGTGGCTTCGGTGGAGCTCCTTATGGGGCCACGAAACGTGTGCGGGGTGTGCCAGATTGGGTTTTGGGGGCGCATGCGGGCTGTTTCACTGGTGGCTTCGGTGGAGCTCCCTATGAGGCCACGAAGCGTGTGAGAGGTGTGCCAAATTGGGTTTTGGGGACGCATGCGGGCGGTCCCACTGGGGGTTTCGGTGGAGCTCCCTATGGGGCCACGATGCGTGTGAGGGATGTGCCAAATTGGGTTTTGGGGACGCATGCGGGCGGTCTCTTTGGGGGCTTCGGTGGAGCTTCCTATGGGGCCGCGAAGCGTGTGAGGGGTGTGCCAGATTGGGTTTGGGGGACGCATGCGGGCGGTCCCACTGGGGGCTTCGGTGGAGCTCCCTGTGGATTCCGCGAAACGTGTGAGGGGTGTGCCGAATTGGGTTTGGGGTACGCATGCGGGCGGTCCCACTGGGGGCTTCGGTGGAGCTCCCTATGGGGCCGGGAAGCGTGTGAGGGGTGTGCCAAATTGGGTTTTGGGGACGCATGCGGGCGGTCTCTTTGGGGGCCTTCGGTGGAGCTTCCTATGGGGCCGCGAAACGTGTGAGGGGTGTGTTAAATTGGGTGTGGCGGACGCATGTTGGCGGTCCCACTGGGGGCTTCGGTGGAATTCCCTGTGGGGCCACGAAGCGCTGTACTGGGTGGGTGAAACGCAGGGAGAAGGGGGAGAAAGGAGGAGGGGAAGGAGGAGGGAGGAAGGAGGGAGGAACGCGGGGACCGTCTTTTCAGAGCGAGGACCCAACACCACAGGAGGGTTGGGAAAAAAGAGCCATCATCCACCTCTTTTCGCTCCTCGTCTTCCTCCTCCTGCTCCTCCTCCTCCCCTTTTCGCCCTTCCAAAAGAATGTCTCCCCTCCACCAACAGGTGACCACCAACAGTAGTGTTTCAATTCATGAGTCACCACCATCGGCAAATACTGTTTCACGTGGCAAGCTGCCACAGCCTCCAGTACTTCTCGCATGGCCGCATCATTCCTCGAGGTGTCTACGCACCTCTTACAACATGCAGCGAGCTCGACATACCCCCCCGAGGGCCTATTCCGATCCGATTGATCCGACTCGCTGTCGGGTCTGTCTTGTTCGATCAGAGTCGATTCCGTTATTCCGACGATCCGATGCGGCCCGCTGTTTGTGTGGCGTTGCTGCGCATCCTGGCGCGCACCACTCGAATCGACTTTGGCTCCATGACGATGCAGCCTGGTCCACTCCAGTTTATACAGATTCTCGGTGCTGACCGCTGGTGCCCTTGCAAGAGGAGGGAGGAGGGAGGAGGATTGGGTGGGAGGAAAAAGACGGGGAGGGGGAGGGAGGGGGAGGGAGGAGCAGTGGGGAGGTGGAGGTGGGGCAGGAGGAGGAGGAGAAGGAGGAGGAGGAGGAGCAGAAGGAGGAGGAGGGAGGAGGAGAACATCGAGGCGGAGGGGGGAGGAGGAGGAGGAGGAGGAGGAGGAGGAGGAGGAGGAGGAGGAGGAGGAGGAGGAGGAGGAGGGGGGAGGAGGAGGAGGAGAGAGAGGAGGAGGGAGAGGGAGGAGGGGGGAGGGAGGGAGGGAGGGAGGAGGGTGGGAGGGTGAGGTCCTCCTCCTCTCTGCAGGCGGAGTCGGCCGGGCTGGGCCTCTCCCTGTTCAGCCGGCTGCTGCAATTGCCCCCGCTGCGGCCGGCGGCTCTGCGGGTGCAGTACCGCATGCACCCGCTGATCAGGCTGGGCGCCGCCATCGTCGACATCGTCGTTCCGGCGTCCCTGACATCTTCGCCCGCGAGATCTTGGCGCCGCAATTGTTTCACACAACAGGCGATTTGGCCTAGATTTTCGGGCCCCCGGGCCCTCAGAGATCGATCCGGCTCGAAGAGTGCAGCAGGCAGATGGGGTCCAGGGCTCCGGTCGAGGCTGATCAGGCCGAGCGGCGTTGCCATCGTCGACGTCGTTACGGTTGGGCATCTTCTGGCTGTCAAGAACTCATGACAGCGGAACCCCGCCCTGGGCCCCTGAACCGTCAGAAGATGATTCGGGATGAAAATCCGGTCCCTTGGGCAGGTCCAGCGGAGCCATGTTGCGAAACAAGCACGACGTCGGATGCTGGTGGGCGTAGACGCCGAGAGTCGTCGTCGTCGTTGTTGTTGTCGTCATTGCTGCGGTCGGCGGTCAGGCCGAGCGTCGTCGTAGTTATCGTCGTTGGCGTCCTGGCCGGGCTTTCTACGATGTGCGCGTCACTGTCCTCCTCCTCTTCCTCCTCCTCATCTTCAGTCCACTACTGCTCCTCCTCCTCCTCCCTCCTCCTCCTCCTCCTCCTCCTCCTCCTCCTCCTCCTCCTCCTCCTCCCCTTTCTCCCCTCCCCTCCCCAGCCTCCTTCCTCTTCCGCCTCCACCACCTCTCCCCTCCCCTTTCCTTCACGGAGAAGGATGAGCAACAGCAGCGGAGCAGCAGACGGAGGAGCAGGAGGGATGAGCAGAAGGCGCAGGAGTTGGAGGAGGAGGACGACCATGACCATGACAACGGCGACAACGACGACATCAGCTCTCCCGTATCCCTCCTGTGATGCGTGCGTGCAGACCAGAGTGTCAAAAAGGAACCCAGCCGTGGCGACGAGAAGCCCCCCCAATTCTCCCAACGCGAGCGAAAAGCACAGTAAAACCTCGAACCTCGAGTCGCGAGGGATCGAGAGTGTCGGTTGTCAGTGGAATGCGCGCCGTTCTTCGAGCTGTGCGCGTTACCCCGTCGCTTCGTTGTACACCAGCCTACCGCATCGGACGGGTTGTCTCCCGACGCCGCCACGCACGCCCATGCCGATCCACAGCGTCCTGGGGAGTGTCAACACCCATGCCGCGCCCGTCTTCTTTCTGGCGCAGTCGTGCTGCATGTGGGCTACAACGGATATTCATGGCACCGTGCAGTTACTTCGGGTACACGTCCACCACGGCGTCTGTGAATTACAGATCCCGTGCCGAGGAAACCTGGACACATCCCACAGCGTGTTCAAACCGCATGGCGCACATAACGGATGTTACTCACCCGTGCGTGTTTTCGCTTGTTTTCGCTTTGCCCAGGCCAAGCCAGGCAATTTGTCAGGCCGTCTCAAGCGAACTTGGACCCAAGCCACACCAAGCAAATTCTGATGACGTCCCAAGCGAAAGCAGGTCCAGACCGGGCCAAACCAAGGCAAACCCCGACAAAGTTTGAGGACGTCTCTAACGAATCCAGGCCCAAACCAGGCCAAACCAGGGGCCACCCCAGGCAAGCGGGGCGCGCGGCCAAACCAGGCCAAACCAGGGGCCGAACCTGGCAGATTTCGAAGACCTCCCAGGCAGAATCGCCCACACCAGGCTCCATCCACCCTCCTTCATAAATTGTATACTTCGAAGTGGATCGCCCCAGGGCCCCTCCCCGCAAGCGGACGCCCGTTTAGAATTTCAAGTGGGGGGCGTTTGGGCCGCGTGCCCGCCGATACGGCCGGGGCTCGGCGCGGAAGCCTTCGGTTGCCTCTCGGGTGTCGCTGGGGCCCTGGTGTGGCGTTCGGGGGAGCACTTCCGAGCCCGTCGTATTCATTTGACCGTAAGTCCCGAGACACTTCCGAGACACAATGAATCTTCGAGTCCCAGAAGATCGGGAAGTGGGGGGGAAGACGCAAGCCCAGAAACAACTGGAAGATCTGAGGGTGTCCTTGGATGTGTGTGTACTTGTTTGTGTGTGTGTGTGTCCCTCCTGGGCCCCTTTCTAGATGTCTCGACCACGGCGACGAGAGATTGTCTGTTTTCCTCTGGCACGTAACGGTCGTTACCCGTGCCAAACCACCCCCGTCGGGGGGGGGGGGAGGTTGGGCCTCCCCACATGCTGGTGCTCGAGCGCGCAGTGTGGCGGTTGCGCCGCATCCCCCGTCCCCACGTACCCTACCCCGCCCAAGCGTTACTATCACCTGGGGCCCCAAAGCCTCCCCAGGGCAACGACCGCTTCCGGGAATAAGCCATAAACAATATCAAGGGTGTCATTTTTTCCTCTCTTTCTCGGCCACGGCGACGGCGAGGCCTCGTGCCCGTGCCGCCGATCCGGGGCGCTCCTGGTGTTCGAGGGCCGCTTCCGCGCAGGGAGGAGCGAAGAGGCTCAAGTTTCGAGGTGCTCGGAGGTATTCGCTGGTTCTTCGGGGTCTGCTGCCGCATGGGCGTCCCTTTGTTCTTTGATTCCCCGATCGCGACGACGACTGGCGACGACGCCGACGGAGACGACGACGAGGACGACGACGACGACGACGACCGACGATGACGACAACCGACGAGCGGCGACGACGACGACGACGACGACGACCGACGACCGACGACCGACGAATGGCGACGACGACGACCGACGACGACGGACGAACCGCGACAACGACGACGACGACGACGACGACGACGACGACGACGACGGCGACGACGACGACGACGAACGGCGAACGGCGACAACGACGACGACGACGACCGGCGAGCGGCGAGCACGACGACGTCGACGACGACCGACGACGACGGCGTCGAGGCACGTCGGGCGCCGGGCAGGCAGTGGCCGTCGGAGGCCTTCTACAGGGGTACGCTGGTCGATGGCGAGAGCGTGGTCGGCAGGCCGCGGCTCCGGGCCTCCCCCTCCCCTCGAGGAGGAGGAGGAGGATTGGATTGGACACTTCGAGCGGACAAGGCTGAACCTTCCAGCAACGAAGGTTAGAGGAGAGACCCTGCACCGCTAAGCGGCACAGGGCTACCACCCCAACCGACATGCCAGAAAGCCCAACCTCAGAGAGGAGACGGCCGTCCCAGCGGCCCATGGTCACTCCAATGCAGGGCGCCGAACCGGCGCGCACGGACACAAGCGCGGCACTCCATTGCCGGCGCCGCCACTTCGCGTGCAGGATCGGGAGGAGGAGCAGAAGCAGCAGCAGCAGGACGAGCTGCCGGAGACCAGGGATCTCCTCCGCCATGGTGCCAAGGGTCAGGGGCTGGAGTGCCATCTCCTGTGCCCTTCTTCTTGTCGCACTTGTCGAGGCTCTTGTCCTTGCCCTTGCTGGGGCTCTTGGGAGGTGGAGGAGGAGGAGGAGGAGGAGGAGGAGGAGGAGGAGGGGGAGATGGAGGAGGAGGAGGAGGAGGAGGAGGAGGAAAAGGAGGAGGAGGAGGAGGAGGAGGAGGAGGAGGGGGAGAGAGGCGCAGGGGCAACGGTGAGGGGGGGATGCGGTAGGATCGCGTCATGCTGACCGGCGGCGACCCCGCCGCCAGCGTTCGACGTTGAGCGTCTTTGGCGACCCAGAATCGGTCGATCTTTAACGATCTGACGTTTCGGAAACGGCCGATCGTTCAAGGTTGAACGATCCCCGCGGTGTCAGAAGCCAACGCCGAAGTCGGCACGACACGAGCGTGCCGTAGGCAGGGGGGGGGGGGGCCTCTTGCCCTCCAAGAGGCCTGCTGCTTGGCAAGCCTTCGATCCCTGCGGGGGAGCCCCCCGCGCCTTCGGTGGGGGGGGCCCTCAGGGGCAGCGCTAGCGGGGGGGGGAACTAGGCTCAGAGGGGGATGCGTCGACCTCCGATCGCCCATTGATCGCCGATCTTAGGGGTGGATGCATCGATCCCCCAATCGCCCATTGACCCCCGCCCAGGAAAGTGCGGATTCGCCACCGGGGGCCTGTCGCCGATCTATCGACGATGAATCGCTGCTTCCCGGTCGATGCATCCCCGGGTGTGCCAGTCCCTCCTGTCGTTGCCCCGCAGAGGCAGCACGAAGCTTCTTGTTCGCCATCCTCCTCCCTGCAGCCTTCCTCCTCCTCCTCCTCGTCCTCGCCCTCCTCGCCCTGTTCCCTCCAGCCCTCCTCCTCCTCCTCCTCCTGCTCCTCCTCCTGCTCCTCCTCCTCCTCCTCCTCTTTCTTCCCCTCCTCTTCCTCGCCCTCCTTGCCCTCCTCCGCGCGTGAGTTTACGTGCATAAATGTCGACGCCCATGTCGGCACGCCTCTCACGAGGATCGCGCCCGCTTCATTCCCGTTCTTCTTCTCCCTCTTTGCCCGTGCACGCCCACGCCCAAGGCTGCGGGCGCGACGCCGCCCGGAGTCCCCGCGACGCGCGCTGGTCGCCCCGAAGGGGTCCCGGCGACGCGCTCGGGTCGTCCGCTGCGCGGAGCAGAGAGCGAGCAGGCTGGCTCCCGCCCGGGATGCGCGGCCCGAAAGCGGCCTCAATACGTCGAATACGCCGAACAACCTCCGAACATCGAAAGTCGCCGCCATGCGAACTCCACTGGGCCGCCATGCGAGTTCCGCCACGGAGACCTTAGGTGGAGCTCCGTGTGGGGACACGAAACGCTGTACTGGGTGGTGGATGACGCATGCGGGCGGTCCCAGTGGGGCCTTCGGTGGGGCCCCCTGTGGGGCTACGAAGCGCTGTGCTGGTGGGTGGATGACGGATGCGGGCGGCCCCAGTGGAACCCCCTATTGGGCCACGAAGCGCTGTACTGGGTGGGGGGAACGCATGCGGGCGGTCCCACTGGAGCCTTCGGTGGAGCTCCCTATGGGGCCACGAAGTGCTGTGGTGGGCGGTGGATGACGCATGCGGGCTGTCCCACTGGGGCCTTCGGTGGAGCTCCCGATGGGGCCACGAAGCGTTGTACTGGGTGGTGGGTGACGCATGCGGGCGGTCCCACTGGGGCTTTCGGTGGAAGTCCCTATGGGGCCACGAAGTGCTGTCCTGGGTAGTGGATGACGCATACGGGCTGTCCCACCGGGATCTTCGCTGGAGCCCCCTATGGGGCCACGAAACGCTGTACTGGGTGGTGGATGACGCCAGCGGGCGGTCCCATTGGAGCCTTCGGTAGAGCTCCTTTTATGGGGCCACGAAGTGCTGTGCTGGCTGGTGGATGACGCATGCGGGCGGTCCCACTGAGCCTTCGGTGGAGCTCCCTGCGGGGCCACGAAGTTAGGGAGGAGTGGGGGGAGGAGGAAAGAATGGAAAACGCGGGGGCCGTCTCTTCGAAACGAGGACCCAACACCACAGGATGGTTGGGAACAAATGCAGGAACTTCACAGATTGAGGGCGGGCCGTTTTCAAAATGTGGTTCTCGCCTTGGCGCCGCGGACACTCGTCTTAAACATTTGCAATAGTTTCATGTATTGAAGGCGGATCCGTTCCAAAATGTGGCTCTCGCCTAAGCGTTGCACACATTATTGTTAAATACATGCAAGAGTTACACTTATTCCCATGATCGACGTACCGGAAATCGTGTTCTGGAAGGATTCAAGATTATGGGGGCGGTGTTTAAGTCCAGGAACGGCGTTCTGGCACGATTCAGGATCGTCAAGACGGAACAGTCAAGTTTATCCGTGGCGCTGGGATACCGAAAACGATGTTTTGGCTTGCTTCAGGGTCTTCCGCCAGTTGCCTTCCAACAAGGCAGGTCCCTCTTCCGTAACCATTTTGGCTCAAGTTGGCGTGGGGCGCGATTCACGGCCGATCGCCAGCAGCAAATTAAGGATTACAAGGTACCGTTTTGTTTGAAGATCGGTGTTTCGAACGTCTCCATGTTCCGAGTCGCGTCCTCCATGACAGAGGTCAGCGCAATGAATGAAGGGCCCGCACTTGGCGGTTACCTCCTCACGTCGAGCCTTCTCTCTGCCGCTTCGGTCAAGAAGGATGTGCCGCGCGGCGGGGATGCCGAGATCGCTGCAAATCCGTTGCTCCCGATGTGGGTCCACAGCCAGTTGGAGATCGACTCTGCTGCTTTCACCTCTACCATCTCAGACGATTCTTTCTCCACTGTGGACGACTGTCGGCAGGCTCCTTCCAGCAGGGCGATGAGCCCCATGCAAGTGCGAATCGTGAAGCTGGGAAACGAGCTCTCTCCTCGCAAGCCGGGCACCCCGTGCACGCCTTTGAACGTGAAGGCGGCGGCGTTTGTCCCGAAAGGCGGCGACCAGCGGACCACTGTGATGATGCGCAATCTACCCACCGCGTTTTCACGGGCCAAGTTGATCGACTTGCTTGAGGAGAAGGGTTTCGAAGGGCAGTTCGATCTTCTCTATCTCCCAATGGACTTCAAATCTAAGTGCAACTTCGGCTTTGCGTTTGTGAACTGGGGGGCGGGCGGTGAGAGCGCCTTACCCCCCTACGCCGTGTACCTCATGCGGCCGGGGCGATCGGCTATGTCTGCGGATGTGAGAGGTCACGCAGGCATTACGGTCGCGTCTACAGACCCTCTTGACTGGGGGACATGAGGGAGATGCTGATTCACGGTCGGTGTCGACCCAGCCACCGCGCTGGGACCGCTGGTGTTTGCTTCTGGTGAGCTTGACGCTATTGTGTGGATGTTGCAGTGCACTCGTTGGCACCAGGGCCAAGGTTCACGTCTGTCTGGATGGACTCGACGTTTCGGCGCTCCAGGTTTCGAGGCCTGGCCGACGTCTCAGTGCGGGGGTGAGAGACCCACTGAGGGCGTAGACCATCTCAGTGCGGGGGTGAGAGACCCACTGAGAAACCCTGGTCTGTGGATCGTGTCCCAGGCTTGCGCTGCTCAGGTCTGCTCTGTAGTGTTATGTTCTCCGGCGGCGTCATCGGCAACGAATTCGTGATGCGCAAATCGACGTCAACACGCTCGTCTACTGACTTGCATGCCTTTCAAACTTCCTTGTGCAGTTAGGGATCACCTTTTTCGTCTTTACAGGTGACCCTTTGTATAGTCCTCGTTGACCTTTTGTCTTGAGGCGGGGACCATTTTTGTCTCCTTTCTCTCTGCGGCGTGGCTAGGCAACATTTCACAAGGTGCACTCTTGTGAAGCATAGGCCGCGGCGGCTCCAACAGGCCTTGTGAACATTTCACAAAAGGAGCAAATCGTTGCACAAGTTTACTCTTGTGAACTACACTTCCTATGTAGCATCATTGTGCCGGTAGGGGACAATACGTCCCACCTGGCCTGCCCTGTGTAGTTCCGCGCTCCAGGTAATCAGTGCGCTGTGAGGGCGACAATAGCGTCCGCCCTGAGCAATTTACCATTTCCCTAGGGGGTCCGATGCGCCTCCTAGGGCTCAGAGGTCAGGCAGCCCCTGACTATACCACTACACTTGCGTTTGTGAACTTGACGACTCGTGAAAACGCATTGCGATGTTCGAATGTCTTTCACAATTTCGCATCGTGGTCATCATCTAGATGCCGCAAAGTGTGTGCCATATGTTGGGGAGAAGTGCAAGGACTGCACGCGAATGTTGTGAGCTATCAGAACAGCGCCGTCATGCGCAAGCAAGACGTACCAGATGATTACAAGCCCGCAATGTTCCAAAACGGTCTGCAGATCCCGTTCCCGCGCACGACGTCAGAGTCCAAACCTAAGCGTTCTCGGACCCGTTCCCGTACCGAGAAGTCCGAGTTTGGCAATTTCGAGTAGTGCAGGTTGCGTGCAGAGTTCCGCACCGGTGGGTTGAGCGTGGCGACCTTGCGCTCTGTTTGCAGTCACGGAGATCCTGAGGTCTGGGCGAGGCCATGTAGCTACGTCCCATACGAAGGCCCGATCACGGGGGGGCTCGAACCAGCATCCTGGGGCGCAAATTTTTATTTGTCGCTTACTTCGCGTTCTATGTTTCACTGTTCTCGGTTGGTGGCTAGCTCATCTGAAGTGGATGTCGCGTTGCTTCTGCGCTGAGGTGCAGTCGCAGTACTAACACAGGGCAGTGCTGTTTGAGCACCTCTGTGTCACATATTGGAATATCGGCGTGCCCGAACATGCGGCAAGCAATCTCGGCTGATATTTCCGTTGGCTTTGACAGTCTCAGCCATCTGCGTTTTCTTAATTACAGAGAGTCCGTTTACATGCCACACGTATGGTATACCAGTGACATGGAGAAGATTGGGTACTGCATTGTCGCAGTACTCGGCCCTCGTGATGCCACGAATGCGTCACGAGGGCCTCGAATGCCAACGGTGGGATCAATGCCCTTTGTCTGCATTGTGCCTCTCAGATAATATAAAAAAACAAGGCAGGTCCCTCTGTGAAAATGAACCGGTGTAGGGTCCTATGAAGAGGGCGCTTGGGGGGAGGGTTTATTCCAGCAGCCTCGATGCCTCTTGGGTTTGCGCTGGTCCTCCTCCTCCTCCTCCTCCTCCTCCTCCTCCTCTTCGCCCTCCTTCCCCTCTTCGCCCTCCTGCCCTCCTGGCCCTCCAGCCCTCCTTCCTCCTCTTCGCCCCCCCTGCCCTTCCTCACCCCCCCCCTCCCAGGGGGGAGGGCGGAGGGGGGGGGATGGGAGGTCGGAACCGAGCAAGACGTCGGAAGGCCCAGGGCCGCGCGCGGCCAGCAGGCCCGCGCGGGTCCCTGCACTCCGCCTCGATGGGCTCCAGCCCTCGAGGGGGTCCACTCTAGGACCCCGTGCCCAGAGGCACCCTGCTCGCCTCCAGGGTGCCCTGCGTTTCTTGGGTTTCGATGGCTGTGCGATGGCAGTCGTGACGTTGTCCCACACCCAAAGCCAATGGACACCCCGGGGTCTCCGAATTTGGGTTTCTCGGGGAAGGTTGCTTGTGGTCGAGATCCTACTGTATCGCTGGTTCCTGGAAGGGTCCTCGCCTTGGGATGCTTTCCAGCAGCTGCGCCTCGCCGAGAGCGCTCCTGGGGTGCCAGCATCGTCCCGAACGGCCGCCGGAGGCCCGAATTATGGTGAAAACCCAGGCCTCCGACGACGTGACTTTTTCGGTCTGTGCGCTCTTCCTCGATCGATCTCGGCGGCGCCGGAGGCGCCGTCAGGTGGGCGCAGCGCCAATCCAGGAAATCCGTGCGGACCTCCGAAAGCGCATGTGCACGTGACCTTCAATTGTTGTCGAGGGCATGCGTTGCGCGAACGTTCGTAACACGAGGGAGGGGGATCCAGCGCCGATCCAAGAGATCCGTCGAGACCTTCGACCTGACATGTTTATGTCCTTACATCATTCTTCATATTAAAGAGCGAGGAGAGCAAGGGCGAGGAGGGAGGAGGAGCGTCGAGGGGAAGGAGGGGTACGAAGACGGGATAGTCGAAAGGACCAGGAGGAGGAGACAGAGGATCAGGGAGAAAGGGCGGATGGATGGTGATGAGGAGGAGCATGAGTATCTCAGGGTGTGTGGGGGGTAGGATTTCGCGAAGGAGGAGGAGGAGAAGGAAGATGAGGAGGAGTAGGCAGGATAATGAGGAGGTGGAGGAGGAGCATTTCAGAAAGACGGGAAGAGGAGTTTCTCCCTCCCTCCTCCTCCCTCTCCCTCCTCTCTCCTCTGGTCTCTCTTCCCTTACCCCTTCCTATCCTGGAATCGTTCTCCACACTGCCTCCTCCTCCTTTTCCTCGTCCCCCGCCGCCTACCCCTCCTCCTCTTCCTCCTCATCCTCCTCCTCCTCCTCCTCTCCCTCGATTCTCCTTTCTTTGCCTCTGTTCTCCTTCTTCTACCTGTTTCTTCATCCCTCCTCTCTGCTCCTCATCTTCCTCCCGTCCCTCGGCCCTCTGGAGTCATCATCCTCCTCATGCTCCTAGATTTCTGCTCTACCCCATACTCCTCATGGAGACCTCCATCCTCCCTCATACCTGGTTCCTCCTTACTCCCCCTTCCGCCCTCAACGTGGACCCCTGGAAGTCTCCACACCTTCCCGGAGATTCGTTCGGCATGCCGACTCGTCTTCTGACGGCCTTGTGCCTGGAATGGATTCTCGAATGCCGAACATGTCCAAACATTGTCCATCTTGTTTCTCGCTGCCACGACGCAAGGAGGTGGCGGCCAGCTTCCCTGCACAGAATCGACGATGATGACAAAGGCGGCGGCGGCGGGACCGGACGGCAGGCCACTGCTCCCCGGGTTCCCGTGGCCAGCTGCCGGGCCGATCGCCTTCATCGAAGCCGCGGGCTTCGAGGAGAGGGGGGATAGAGGAGGACTGGGTCGGACGGAAGGGATTCGAGGGATCTGGAAACGGGTGCATGCATGCGGCTGTGTGCGGCTGGTTTCGGCCCCCACCGCCGGTCGCTCTCTTCGGTACGCTGGGCCCCTTGGCACCGGGAGACATCCTGAGTCTTTTGTTGACGATCCCACGGCTGTGGAACGGTTCCCAGAGACCAGAAACGTCCAAATATCGGCGTCCTTCGCATGTGTTTGCCGTCGCCAGGATTTGAGAAGAGGAAAGGAGGAGGAAGAGGCGGAGGGGGAGGAGGAGGAGGAAGAGGAGGAGGAGGATGATAAGAAAGAAGAGTAGGAAGACCAGTGCAATCCCAAGATCCGTCAACGATGTTGCAATAAGCCCTCCCTCCAAGTTCTCTGTTCACTGTTCACAGGTCCCTACAAGGATTCGTTTGGCACTTAGGCAAGCTCCCCGTTTTGAAGACAACCGTCTGAAATTCCGGAACCGTGCCAGAACACCATTCTTGGGATTTCAACGTGGTGAATCAACGTTACGGTTGCGTCCTGGTGATGTTGACAAAAATGTAGGAACGTCAACCATCATTTTCTTTGAACATGTTGCAAGCTCTCGAGACGAATCCGCGCGGCGCTAAGGCGAAAGCCACCGTTTTGAAAATGTCGAGATGTATCGCCCCCGACGCCCTTCCGTGCCTCCCCTACATATCCCTTTCCTGCTCTCACCCATGCACTGTACTGAAGCCGTTTTGGCGCTGAGGATTTGAGAGTGAAACGGATCGGCATCGTTTATTGCTGTCAAGATGGCAGCGGAGCGCGGGTGACACTGACCCGCAGATCCACGGAGATCAGCCTGCCCGCCTGTGAGGCGGCTGACGGCCGCGATGAGCGTGGAGGCTCTCGCACAGGAGCTACTGGAGACGAAGCGAGAGCTCGGCCGACTGATGGAGACGGTCGAGAACCAGAACCAGACGATCACAGGGCTCCAGACGGAGCGAGCCGACGCAGATGCAGCGAGTCGGCAGCAGTCGACGAAGGCTTTCGCCAACGCGATTATCGGAGACAAAGGGAAGCCGCCGACCTTCGACAACACGAAGAAGCTAGACTTCCATGATTGGGCGTTCAAGTTCAAGGCGTACATCGGCAACCAGAGTCGGAAGTGCTTAGAGGGAATGACCCAGGTCGAGTACGGCCAGAACCAGCTGAACTACGCCAACTACGACGACGAGTGGAGACAGATGGCGCAGTCGCTGTTCTACCAGCTCACGATGTATACGGAGGGCACCCCGCTCGGCATCATCCGCAAGGTCAGTAACCAAGACGGATTCGAGGCATACCGCAGGCTGAGCTCCCAGTATGACCCTCAGAACATGGGCAGCATTCTATCGAGACTGATGAGGGTGCTGGAGTTCGACTTCGGCGGAGAAGCGGATTTCCTCGACAACATGGCGAAGTTCGAGATTTCGATCGAAGAGTACGAGAAGCTGGCGAGCGAGGCCCTCAGCGACAACATCCGCTCGGCGGTCTTGATCGCGCGAGCCCCTGAGGCCTTGAGGAACCACGTGCTGCTGGGGACACCCAAGGAGGAGATCCAGTGGGCGAGGATCAAGAAGGTGGCCGCCGACTTCCTGCTCACGAAGCAGTCCATGCCTGGTGGCCCTGCGCCGATGGACATCGGCGCCATCAACAGCAAGGGCGGAAGAGGATACGGCAAAGCCAAAGGCAAAGGCAAGGGCAAAGGCAACGACACCAGAGGTAAGGGCAAGGACAGGAGCAGCGGCGGTGGCATCGCCGGCGGAGAGAAGAAGTTCCAGGGACACTGCGGACGATGCGGCAAGTGGGGGCACAAACAGAAGGACTGCTACGCCAAGATCCACAACGTGAGCACCTGGGACGGCAGCGGCTGGGACGGCAACACCTGGGACGAGAAGTGGGGGAGCTGGGACACCACCAACGAGAAGGAGAAGGGTGCGGCCTCCTCCCACGAGGACGCCAGCGCCTCCATCAGTGCCAACGCCCTCCAGTGCTCCGAGTGCGAGGACGCTGCGTGGATCTTCGCCGTCGGCACGCTTGAGGGCCCGAGCGGAACAAGAGTTGGCCAGACGGTTGACATCATGGTGGACACTGGCGCCAACAAGTCGGTGTGCGGGCCCAGCGACTTCCCCGACTACCCCACTATGCAGGACAGGAGGCTGGAGATCAAGGTCGCCAACGGGACCTCCCTGAAGCACTACGGCGACAAGCAGGTGAACTTGAAGACGCCGAATGACGACGAGATCAGTGTGAGATTCCACGTCACGGAGGTGACGCAACCGATCCTGAGTGTCAACAGCATCAACAAGGCAGGAGCTGGGGTGGAGTTCCCACCGTCAGGCTCGACGGGCCCACCCTCGATCACGCGGGATTCGAGGAGCGGGCGATCACGGCTTGGGCTGAAGAGGAGGCTCGGCCTGTTCTTCCTGCGCGCGACGGTGATGAGCTACGTCGGCACCAAGATCGGCGCGGACGGCCTGGTCGTCTACAACACGGCGACGGGCGTCCCCGAGGAGTACATCGCTGCGCAGGTGGACCAGCCGATGGAGCAAGAAGTCAGGCCCGAGGCTACGGTGATGACGGCTCCCAGGGAGCCGACACGAGCCGAGAGGGAGGCTCACGAGGCCCTCCACTGTCCATACGCAGCGTGGTGCGCGGACTGTGTAGGGGGGCGAGGCCTGGACGACAGGCATGAGAGGATCAAAGAGGTAGAGGGTGTGCCTGTGATCCAGATCGACTACATGTTCGGCAAGACGCATCGTGACGAGAAAGTGCACCCAGTCATGAATGCCATCGACAACGTATACCACTCTACGGCCTCGGTATGGTGCGAGGCGAAAGGTGGAGGAGACCTGTTTCTCCTGAAGTGTCTCAAGCGGTGCGTGGAGAAGCTCGGGTTTGAGAAGGTTATCATCCAGTGCGACCCCGAGAATGCGGCCAAGGACGTGGCGGCCAAGGTCGCGAGGGACATCGGGAACAACGCGACCTTCAGGTGCACACCGAAGACGAGCAAGGGGAGCAACGGCATGGTGGAGAGGTTCCACTCGTTCATCGAGGGTATGACGAGGACCTGGAGGAGAGCCATTGGGGCAAAGTACGGTATCGTGGTCGAGTTGAGGCATCCCCTGATGGCCTGGATCGTGCGCCACGCATCGTGGACTCACGACCGCTTCCTCATCCACCGCTCCGACTACAAGACGTCCTACGAGCGTCAGCACGAGAGGCATTATGCCAAGAAGGTCCTACCACTCGGCGAGACGGTCATGTGGAGGCAACCTGGGCCTATCGCCGCCAAGTTCGAGTCCGCGTGGGGCTACGGCATCTACCTCGGGCGGTCGTTGGAGGACGACTCCCACATCTGCGGCACCAGGCATGGCATCGTCGTGGCGAGGTCCGTACGGAGGCTCGTGGAGAGCGAGCGCTACGACAAGCAGCTGCTCCTGGCCATGAAGGGCATCCCGAGCGACACGAAGGCGCCGAATGCATCCACGCCTGTGGCAGACAGACCAGCCCCCGACCTCGACCTCCCGCAGCCCGCCAGGCTTCCGCGACCAGCGGACGCCGCGCCCGAGGAGGGGCAGGCAGGCCCCCAGGAGGGGGAGGTGAGGTCCGAGGAGCCGCAGGAGGGGGACCCAGGAGGCGCCGAGGCAGCCGCCGACGGCGACGAGGCCATGGACGACGTAGAGGACGCACCACAGCCCGTCACGAAGAGGCCGAGGGGCCGACCAGTTACACGAGTGCTTCCAGACCCGATGTCAAGAGAGTTTACCCCAGGCTGTAGTGGATGCTTGGGCACATCGTACCGTCATTCGAACTTCTGTCTCGAGAGGAGGGGGTTGCCTCCTAACGAGCCGCGTGGCAAGCGGGCCGCGGCAGAGAGCGCAGCTGCACCTGAGGTGAAGCGTGCAGCAGTCGAGGAGCCTGAGAGCTCGGCTGGCAAGCGGGCCGGCGATGAGGCGCCTGCGGAAGGCGAGGCGCACAAGGAGAGGAGAATTGCTACGGTGAAGGTTGGCAGCGTGTCCGTCGCCAACTTGATGGGCTACCCCGACGACACCGAGCTCTGCGCGCCGTGCGAGCTCGACCCCAACTTCGAGCTGCTGAGCGAGGCGTACTACGACGACGACGACGGTGAGTGCCTCGACCCCGACGCCGTCCGCGAGGGGATCAAGAGGGAGGCGAACTTCATGGAGTCTCTCGGCGTCGGCGAGGTCGTGGCGCGACCCCGAGACATGAAGGTGTGGGGCACGAGGTGGTGCCACCGCAAGAAGGGTGATGGGGGTCCGCAGCAGGTTCGTCGTGAAGCAGTTCAGGGACGCCCAGGCGGGGGATTCCTTCGCCTGCACCCCGCGCACGGAGGCTGTGCGCGTGCTGATGGCGGCGGCGCTGATGCTCAAGCACGTCATCGTGACAACGGACTTCAGCGTGGCGTTCATGCACACGCCCGTGAAGGACGGCACCGAGATCTATGTGGAGATGCCGCCCGAGTACGGCATGGGGCATGGATACGTGTGGAGACTGAAGAGGTCTCTGTATGGGCTCAGAGAGGCAGCGCTACGATTCCAGGAGTTCCTGGAGAGCATCGTGGTCGGTATCGGATTCAAGGTCTGCAAGGCGGAGCCCACTATATACCATCACATCGAGAAGGGCATCAGGGTCGTGGTCCACACGGACGATCCTCTTGCCTCAGGTCCCACGCGGGGAGTGCTCGACGAGTTCTTCGACGAGCTGGCCAAGCACCTCGCGATCAAGGGGCGGTACGTCCTGGGCGAGAACCCCGTGATCTACCTCGGCTCGTCGCTGCAGAGGTTCGGGGACGTGATCGTGGAGAAGAGCAAGCCCGGGTACGTCGAGAGCATCCTCGACGCGGCGGGGATGCTGGGCTGCAGGCCTGTGGGCACGGCTGGGGTCAGGCCAGACCTCACCCCGCCCGGGGCCGAGCAGCCGCTCAACAGCGAGGAGCACTCGCTGTACAGGAGGTGCTGCGGGAAGATCCAGTACGCGATCCTGCGGAGGCTGGACGTGATGCACCCGCTGAAGGAGCTCGGTCGTCGGCTGAGCGAGCCGAGGGTGGCCGACATGAAGTGCCTGAAGCACCTCCTCCGCTACCTCAGCGGGACGGTCGACCTGGCCATGGTTCACCGCTCCACGAAGGACTACAAGCGCATCCGAGGTAGCACCGACTCGGACTGGGCGGGATGCCACGAGACCCGCAAGTCGACAGCATGCGGGATCGTGCGGTGGTGCGGGGTGGTCGTCAGTGCCTACGCCCGCACGGAGTCAGTGCTCGCCCAGTCGAGCCCTGAGGCCGAGTACCTGGGGGCCGTGGAGCTGGCGGCGGAGATGCTGTACGTGAGGGAGCTCGTCAAGTTCATGGGCTTCGACGCGTCGCTGGAGATCGAGTGCGACGCGTCCTCCGCCATCGCGATCGCCTCGCGGCGCGGACTCGGCAGGTTACGACATCTGGAGGTGAAGTGGCTATGGCTCCAGCAGCTGGTCGGTACGGGCCAGATCAAGATCGTGAAGGTGAAGGGCACGGAGAACCTCCCCGACGTAGGGACGAAGTTCCTGGGGAAGGGTGCGCTCGAGAAGTGCCGCACCATGCTTGGTCTGGTCCCGATCGACGCCCTCGGGAATGGCATCGTGGCTGCCCTGAGCGCGTCCCGAGGAGCACGGTACCTGGCGACGTTCATGGTCCTCGTGAACGGCGTGAAGGCCCAGCCAGCCACGCCCGACGGCGGACCCGACCCACACCTGGCGATCGTGGTGGTCTGGTCGGTCCTCTGCATGCTCGTGGGCGTGATGCTGTGCTGGTGTGGCTGGTGCGTGTGCCTATACCTCCCGAGGTCAGCTGCAGGACGGACGGGCAAGGGCTGCTCCAAGGGTCAGCCCAGTGAGAGCTCGGAGAGGGGCAGATCGGAGCCAGAACCCGATCCGCCTCCAGCACCCGACGCTCCCCGCGATCAATGTCGGGAGCCGTCGGAGCCGCGTGGCAGGGGCGTGCTGCTGTTCCACCTGGACACGGTCGGGACCTCGATCCACTCGAGTCCGAACTGCCAGGCTCTGCGCGATCGGCACCACCCGCTGGTGACGAGGAGCGGGTGCCTGATCTGCGCGCGGGTGCTGGGCCAGGGGGTGCGCATGCTGCACCACACGGACAGTGTCGAGAGTGCGGTCCACGCCGACGCTGCCTGCCGCGGGTTGAGGTCGCGGAGGCGCCGTCTTGTGAGCCGCGGAGCGTGTGCGTTTTGCTTTGGGCATCGTGGCTAGCGCCTGCCCTGCTGCGCGCGCGCCCTCGGCAAGAGGCTCGAGGAGGGGTGTCGAGATGTATCGCCCCCGACGCCCTTCCGTGCCTCCCCTACATATCCCTTTCCTGCTCTCACCCATGCACTGTACTGAAGCCGTTTTGGCGCTGAGGATTTGAGAGTGAAACGGATCGGCATCGTTTATTGCTGTCAAGAGAAAACGACTCGCCCTCCATTCGTAAAGCTCTGGCGAAATTCTCAGACGAATGGGCGCGGCGCTACGGCGAGAGCTGCATTCTGAAAACAGCCCGCCCTCCATCCGTGAAACTGTTTGCAAATCTTAAGCTTCAGGATCATCAGTGGTGCGGAGTTCTCAGGCGAAGCGCCCAGCCCGCCCTACAGACACGTTGGCGGCTGAGACAGGGAGACGCTTTCTGCCCCCATAAGGGAAAGGGATGGAGGGGGAGGAGGGCGAGGAGGAAGACCAGTGTAAGTCCAAGACTCATCAACGATATTGCAGTAAATCCTCCATGTCAAGTTTATTCTTCATAGGCGCCTACAACGGTGCATCTTCACTGAGGAAAGGGCCCCGTTGGAAGACAACCGTTCGAAAGTCCGGAACTGTGCCAGAACACCGTCCCTGGGACTTCAACGCCGTGAGCCACCGTTACTGTTGCGTCTTGACGGTCCTGGTCCGTGCCAGAATACTAGTTCTGGGATTTCAGCACCACTTCTCAACGTAATTGCTGCGCCCTGACTGTTCGACATCGTGCCAACACATGTGTTGGTATGTTGACCATGAGAATCCTTGATTCTGCTGCAAAATCTTAAAACGAATGTGCGCGGCGCTAGTGCGGGAGCCGCCCTTCATTTTTGAAGCTGCTGCAATTGTTTAAGGCGGATGTGCGCGGCGCAAAAAGGCGAGAGCCACATTTTGAAAACCACCCGCCCTCCATCCGAGAAACTCCTGCAATCTTGCCAAGCGAACGCGCTCGGGTCGAAAGCCATTTTTTGAAAACCACCCGCCCTCCACGCGTGAAACTGCTGCAGATTCATAGCCCCAGGATCTTCATTGGTGATGAAGTCTCCGGCGAAACGCCTGGCCCACCTTTTCGACCGGCCTCGGGTCGGGTGTTGCTAGAAGTACGTAGCACCCTGCAAATGCGGATAAGAGTGAAGGGGCGGTGTGGACGTCGGCAGTTTGCGAGACTCTGGAGAAGCCCGCCGCAGGCGCCAAAGCTTCACAAATTATGCAACGAGCACGCCGCAGGCGCCGATTTTTGCGTTTAACCAAAGTGGTTAGCTCGCGAGTGGGTCGCAAATGGGTCGCGGGTGGGTCGCGGGTGGGTCGTTGTTGGGTCGCGGTTGAGTCACGGGTGTAGAGGGCAGAAAATCAACCCTAGAAGAATCACCCCGACAAGCAAGGCCGTTTAGTAAACGCACACAAGGAATGAATCGAACAGGGCAGGGCTGTTTGGTCAACGCCCAAGGCCGTTTGAGTAAACGTCAACTGTCGGGTTCGGGTGGTTTTTCTTCCCTTGAAGGTGGGTCGCGGATGAGTCGCGGGGTGGGTCGCAGATGGTTCGCGTATGGGTCGCGGATGGGTCGCGGGGTGGGTCGCGGGGTGGGTCGCGGGGTGGGTCGCGGGTGGGTCGCGGGGTGGGTCGCGGGGTGGGTCGCGGGGTGGGTCGCGGGGTGGGTCGCGGGGTGGGTCGCGTGGTGGGTCGCGGGGTTGGGTCGCGGGACAGGGTCGCGGGACAGGGTCGCGGGGTCGGTCGCGGGTGGGTCGCGGGATCGGTCGCGGGGTGGGTCGCGGGGTGGGTCGCGTGGTGGGTCGCGTGGTGGGTCGCGGGTGGGTCGCGGGTGAGACGACGACAACAAACAACAACGAACAACAACAACAACAACAACAACAACAACAACAATTACTAGCACGTGGGGGCACACCGTTCTCACCAGTGCCAGGGTTTTCATAGGAGGCGGGCAATACCCCCACTTTGTGGGGGGGCCGGTTCAAGCTCTACCAACTTTCCAAACGACTCTTCGCCACCACCCACACCCAGCTTCCCGCCCTATGACGTTCGGACACTTCACTTCGTGGCATGCGGACGACCGTGGCTACTATTCAGGGCCCCGCGGCCGACGACGACGGCGTGCGCGCGCGAAGAAAAAACGAATGTGTCCCGCATGGTATTATTTGACAGGGATGATGGCCCTGGCAGGTGCGCAACCGTTGTTGCAGAAGTTCGAAAAAGTTGCTCGCAAAAGCCCGTTTGACAGAAATGTTTAAAAAGTGTTGGGTTTCCTACGAATCCGCAAGAGCGCGCGGGATGAAATTTTGACAATTTTTTTTTGAAAAACCATTGGTTTTTTGATGTTTTTATGTTAAAATCGCTACGAACACTAAGGTTTTGGAAGGATTTCGTCTTGCGCGCGCGAATGTCCACTTTACCTTATTTTTTGCAAGGGATTCTTGAAGTTTGGTTATGTTAGAACAAGAAATGTCCACTTTAGCTTATTTTTTTGCAAGGGAAAACGGGGGACAACAAAACAACCGGATCCGGACACCCACGTTTTGCCTGAGACTTCCTCACGCAAATGATGAAAATGTGGCTGCGGCCTAGGCGCGGCGAGGGGGCCGCGCACCAGGGGCCCCAACAACAATTATTCTTTAGAATAAATAATGTTCAACAACAACCACAACAACAACAACACCAACAACAACAACAACAACAGTAACAAGAACAACAACAACGACGACAACGACAACGACAACAACAACTACAACTACAACAACTACAACTACCACTACAACTACAGCTACAGCTGCAACTACAACAACAACACCAACATCAACAACAACAACGCAACAAGCAGAATTCTCACCACGAATTCTTCATTCAGCCACGCACCCAGGGACAACGAAAAACCGTTCGGCCCCCTCACTCTGACAACGAGCCCGCCGCAGGCGCCGATTTTTTCGTTAAACCAAAGTGGTTCGGTCGCGAGTGGGTCGCGGGTGGGTCGTTGTTGGGTGGTGGGTGGGTCGCGGGTGTAGAGGGCAGAAAATCAACCCTAGAATAATCACCCCGACATGCGAAGCCGTTTAATAAACGCACACAAGGAATGAATCGAACAGGGCAGGGTCGTTGAGTCAACGCCCAAGGCCGTTTTAGCAAACGTCAATTGTCGGGTTCGGGTGGTTTTTCTTCCCTTGAAGGTGGGTCGCGGATGGGTCGCGGGGTGGGTCGCGGCTGGGTCGCGGGGTGGGTCGTGGGTGGGTCGCGGGGTGGGTCGCGGGGTGGGTCGCGTGGTGGGTCGCGGGTGGGTCGCGGGGTCGGTCGCGGGTGGGTCGCGGGATCGGTCGCGTGTTGGGTCGCGGGGTGGGTCGCGGGGTGGGTCGCGTGGTTGGTCGCGTGGTGGGTCGCGGGCGGGACGATGACAACAAACAACAAACAACAAACAACAAACAACAAACACAACAACAACAACAACAACAACAACAACAACAACAACAACAACAACAAGAAGAAGAACAACAACCACAACGACAACGACCACGACAACGACAACCACAACAACAACGACAACAACAACAATTGTAATTACAACTATAACTACAACTGCAACTACAACGACAACTACAACTACAACAACTACTACAACAACATCAACAACAACGCAACAAGCAGAAATGTCACCACGATTTCCTTATTCAGCCACGCACCCAGGGACAATGGATGACCGTTCGGCCCCCTCACTCTGACCCCTGGCCCAAGGTACCCCCAGGAGTCTCGGGGTGGCCCAGACGGCCTCCAGGGCACCCCTCACGAGGCCCAGAGGGCCCCAGGGGCTCCAACATGGAGCGAGAAGCTGGGGGCGCCTTGGGCCAGTGGCAGTTCTGGCAACATCCGATCGGGGTGCGACAGGGAGGAGTTCTCGACTACAGTCGGGGCCCTGAAGAAGGAACCCTTTTCGTTGGGGAGGGGCTCCGCATCCCTCAAGTGTTTCACAGCTTGCCTCAGGCTTTCCTTAAGTTTTCGACAGGAAACCGAAGGTTCACGTATGGAAAAAAGGGGCCTCGCTCCTTATTTAGGGTTCTTTAGGTCAACGCCCCGACTGTAGGCGAGGGAGTGGAGGGGCGGGAGGAGGATCAGGAGGGGGAGGAGGGGGCAGAGGAGGAGGAGAAGGAGGAAGCGAAGGAGGAGGAGGAAGAGGAGGAGGAGGAGGAGGAGGAGGAGCAGGAGGAGGAGGAGGAGAAGGAAGAGGAGGAGGAGGAGGAGGAGGAGGAGGAGGAGGAGGATGAGGAGGACCAGGAGGAGCAGGAGCAGGAGGAGGAGGGGCGACTTGGCGGGAGGAGGCGCCGCCCGCGGCCTCGAGGAGCCGTCCCCCGGCCGCTCGTGGCAGAACCCGGGCGAGTGCGCCCTGGCGCTCGCGGTCGTGAACCGCCTGCTGGAGCGGGTGCCCGCGGAGAGCATCGCCGTGATCTCCCCCTACCGGGGACAGGTCGGCGCCCTCCAGTGGGGGAAAAGCGTGCATGTGGGGAGAAAAAGATACGGATACGTGTTGTCCCCCTCCGTTTTCGGCCTTTCCTGGTCCTCCTGGGGAATCCTCGTTGTCACCGCTGGATTCGCCTCGAAATTCTGGTCAGAACGCACCCCAAGAGAGGTCCTGGGACAACACGTATCCGTATCTTTCCGCCCCCCAACGTGCACGCGGGTCGTTGAAAGTGGGTCTTTTTGGATGCCCGGATCCCAGATCTGCTTCCAGCGCCGTCCCACTTCAAGAGTCGGCACGCTTGTGCTGTGTGTTTTGTTGTTCTCTGGGAGATCCTGGGCCCAATCTGCTATATCCGCCTTCCTACTTCATGTTTCTGCCTGCTTCTTCCGACCGACGTGTAAGCCGGAACTCGGGCTTGCCGACGTCTTTGGTCGACGGGGCGTCAGAGTGACCTTTCGCCGGAGTGACTTGTGGTATGGGCCCAATCGGGTCCCCTGATCGTCGAGCGCGAAGCGGTAGCACCGGTTTGCGCGCCCAGGTTTGGCCACCCCGCGGCCCCCAAGAAGCCGCGCACCAAAGGTCACTCTTGCCCAGGGTCACTCTTGCGTGTAGCCGATTTTGACGCGCGCGTCTTGGATTTTGACGGTCCAGGGGGAGCTCGCGTCAAATTTTAGGATCGGGCCTCGTCATTTTTTTGATGATGGCCCCATCGTGCCAACCCGAGCCCCCCGACCCGAGCCTTACGCCTCCCCGATCTAGCGGCGGAGGGCCAGCCGAGACCGCAACGGCTCTCCCCGGCGCTCTTCGCCCTCCACCTGTGCGCCTCTTCCCAGAGGCTTCTCTCGTCGCCCGCAATTCCGCCGCACTGCGACGATTCGGCCGCAATTCCGAGGACAGCGCCGTTACGACAGAATCTGTTCTGGATCCCACCTTTTACCGACTCCGGACAGTGAGCGCATGGCCGGAATGTTCTAGTGTTTTGGACGCTTCGGCCCCACCCTGCAGCACCCGCGCGGTGCACGATGCAGGCCGTTTGTCCGTCCGTTTCTCTCGTCGCCCCGGCCGGGGTCAGCGCGGAGCCCTCGAGGGGGTCCGAGCACCGACTCTGCGCGGATGCGGGCCGGGCGGGAGAGCCGCCGCTGTCTCGAGCGGCCCCTCGGAGTTTCGGGCGCGTGGGGTCGGCACGTTCTCGGCGTCTCGGGGGTGGGCCTCCCGGGGCGCGCCTGTTGTCACGGCTGGCTCTGCCTCGGAGCTCCAGTCGGCACGTGCCCCAGGAAAGGTCCGGGTGGTGTTGAGGAGTCAAAGCGGAGGAGGAGGAGGAGGAGGAGGAGGAGGAGGAGGAGGAAGAGGATGAGGAGGAGGAGGAGGAGGAGGAGGAGGAGGAGGGGCAGGAGGATGTGAAGGTGAAGGAGGAGGAGGAGGAGGAGATATGGGTGCGCGGCTGCTGCTGATGATGATGAGGAGGACGATGATGACGACGACGACGATGATGATGATGTTGAAGAAGAGGATGATGATGATGCTGATGACGTTGATATGATGAGAATATGGAAGAGGATCAGGATGATGATGTGGAGGAGGATTATGGTGATGTTTCTGATGATGATCATACTTGTGCTGCTGATGGTGGTTGTGATGGTGATGGAGATGAGGATGGTAATGAGGATGAGGATTAGGATGAGGACGGTGATCATGATGATGGTGATGCTGGTGATGCTGCTGATGATGTCCATCATCATCATCATGATGACGATGACGAAGACGATGACGATCATGGTGATGATTGTGATGAGGATGATCCTGATGATGGGGGTGCTTATGTTGCTGATGATGACGACCTTGGTGATTACGATGATAATGATGCCGATGGTGATGGTGAGAGTGACGATGATGCTGATGATGTTGATGATGATAACGATGATGATGAGCAGTACGATGATGATGATGATGACGACGCGATTACCATGAATGTGATGATTATAATGACGACGATGATGATGGTGATGATGATGATGATCATGATGCTAATGATGATGATGGTGATGATGATGATGGCGATGATGTTGATGCTCATCATCATCATGATGATTATGACGATGTTGGCGATGACGTTGACGACGATGCGGATGCTGCTGATGATGGTGATGATTATGATGGTGGTGGTGATGATGATGATGATGTTGGCGACGATGATGATGCTGATAATGCTGCTGATGGTGATCATGTTGATTGTGATGATGATGATAACGATGCCGAGTATGCTGATGATGATGATGGTGGTGGTGGTGGTGGATGTGATGATGATGGAAGGATCGGCGGGGAGGCAGGCAGGTCTCCTCAGAGAAGGAGAGTCGAGGAGGAAACAGGAGGCGGGGGTGGCAGATGATGATGATGATGATGAGGAGGAGGAGGAGGAGGAGGAGGAGGAGGAGGAGGAGGAGGAGTAAGAGTAGCAGGAGGAGCATGGAGCAGGGCAAGGAGCGGGAGGGGGAGGGGGAGGGGGAGGAGGACAAGCTAGGTTCGTTAGCGTCACATCAGACCTCCTGCTCCTCCCTTCCATTCCTCACAATGGCGTAGATCTCCTATCTATTCGCGCAATCGGACGTCGAGCAGGACAATGATCCTCAGAGGGTACGCGATGGATGGAAAAGCATGGCGGAGAAGAGCATGGTAGAGCATAACATGTTATGGCATGGCGTTGCATTGCGTAGTGGAGCATT